GTGTTACCCAGCATAAAATAGCAAAGACTTTTAAGTTATCATCATCAACCGTGCATAACATCATCAAAAGATTCAGAGAATCTGGAACAATCGCTGTGCGTAAGGGTCAAGGCTGTAAAACTCTACTGGATGCTCGTGATCTCCGAGCCCTTAAACGTCACTGCACCTCAAACAGGAATGCCACTGTCAAGGAAATAATAGAATGGGCTCAGGAATACTTCCAGAAAGCATTGTCAGTGAACACAATCCACCGTGCCATCCGCCGTTGCCAGCTGAAACTCTACAGTGCAAAGAGGAAGCCATTTCTAAGCAAGCTCCACAAGCTCAGACGTTTGCACTGGGCCAGGGGTCATTTAAAATGGAGTGTGGCAAAATGGAAGACTGTTCTGTGGTCAGATGAGTCACGATTTGAAGTTCTTTATGGAACACTGGGATGCCATGTCATCCGGACCAGAGAGGACAAGGATAGCCCAAGTTGTTATCAACGCTTCGTTCAGAAGCCTGCATCACTGATGGTATGGGGTTGCATGAGCGCTTGTGGCATGGGCAGTGTGCATGTCTGGAAAGGCACCATTAATGCAGAGAACTATGTTCAGGTTCTAGAACAACATATGCTCCCATCTAGACGTCATCTCTTTCAGGGAAGACCCTGCATTTTTCAACACGATAATGCCAGACCACATTCTGCAGCAATCACAACATCATGGCTATGTAGGAGAAGGATCCGGGTACTGAAATGGCCAGCCTGCAATCCAGATCTTTCACCTATAGAGAACATTTGGCGCATCATAAAGAGGAAGGTGCGACAAAGAAGGCCCAAGACGATTGAACAGTTAGAGGCCTGTATTAGACATGAATGGGAGAGCATTCCTATTTCTAAACTTGAGAAACTGGTCTCCTCTGTCCCCAGACGTCTGTTGAGTGTTGTAAGAAGAAGGGGGGATGCCACAGAGTGGTAAAAATGGACTTGTCCCAACTTTTTTGGGATTTGTTGACGCCATTAAATTTGGAAACAGATTTTTCCCTTAAAATGATACATTCTCTCAGTTTAAACTTTTGATCTGTGATTTGTGTTCTATTCTGAATAAAATATTAGATGTTGGCACCTCCACATCATTGCATTCAGTTTTTATTCACAATTTGTTTAGTGTCCCAACTTTTTTGGAATCTGGTTTGTAAATAATAAGCTAACACTATTTATCTGATCTATGATTATTAGGTCTATTTTGTATAACAAAAGAGGATGGATAGATAGATGGACACACGCACGCACTCACGCACACACACAGTACAGACAGTTAGTAGTGGCCATCTTGGATTCTGATGTGGCAACCCAGTTTTCAATAGTGATCTTTGCAGTATTGTATAAAATTTAAAAAACAATAAGGGGTAATTTTAATTAAATTACTTTATTTAGTAAAGTATTCAGTCTTCAAGTATAAAAATGATCCTTCTGTTATTTAGATTGAAAATGGCTGCACAATCTACAGATCAATAAATTCACCACAAAAACTAAAGTGCAGGTGAAATTTCCCAAAATAACTAAATAAAATGAAGCTTAAGATCTGTTGAGCATAAATGTAACAAAATATGTTTCCTTTAAATGAGCTATAACTTCCAGAACTTGTAACAAGGTGATCAGCTGACCCTGAAGCTTGTGGAGTTTCAGCTTCCTCTGTTCCTGCAGGAATGACGCATTTATTTCTCTGATGCTCTGTCTTTCATCACCCGACTCTGTTCTTGGTCCATGGACTGTGGAACAAGAGACAGTTGAGCTGTGTGTGTTTGTACTGGCAGTTTAGAGCGGGGGAGACGCAGCCTGCACCGGCAGCCCAGAGCGGGGTGGGGGGAGAAAAAAGACGAGCTGCATTTGTACCGGCAGTTTAGTGCTGGATGGAGAGACAGCTGAGCAGCGCGTAGTTTGTTTTTAGTTTTTAGCTAGCTAGAATTGCACGCAACTAATTAGTGTTACACCAGTACCGACAGGTGGAGGGGGTTCCGCAATTCGGTTTGGTCGTTCAGCGCGCTCGGTTCTGTTAACGGAGCGAGGCGCCCTGACGTATTACGTCATGAAATTAGCATATTATGATATTATTTATTTGCCCGGGCAAGCTTTTTTTTACCGGTATTATCGTGAACAATATGATATGGCCCAGCCAGACCAAGAAGTGACTCAGGGTGCATTCACACTAGCCCTGTTTAGTCCGCTTTAATCGAACTCTAGCTCGTTTTCCTATAAAGTCCGGTTCGTTTAGGGAGGTGTGAACGCGCCATCGAACTCTGTCACGGAACAAAAAGGCGAACTCTGGCCCAGGCTAAAACCTAGGTCTCGGTCCGGTAGAAGCGAACTCCAGTGCGGTTCGAGTACAGTGTGTATGTAAACAGCCCGAGCCCCGCTCCGCAGGGTAAACAAACACGCATTGCTCTGACCTTATATGGAGCCGTCAGCTGCCTTGAGTGAAAAACAATATTCTCCATGGTCTTCTGTCTCGTCTTCTGCTCATGCTAAGTCCATTTTTGAAAAATGACAAAATATAACTCCTAAAACTGCTAAAACTTGATGCCACTTCATTTTTATTTTTATTTACAGAAGAAGAAGAAGTATCTTCAGAGGTTTTTGTGTCATTTCTTTCAGTAGTTCTTGGTGCAGCGCCCCCACAGGCGAGCGGGGGAATAGGTTGGTTCAACAGGTTGACTCGACTGCACAGTGCAGTGTGAATGCAAACGCACCAGCTCAAATGTAAACAAAAGCTCATGAATATTGGTCCCGAACCGAACTGAGTCTACCGGACTATCTAGTGTGAAAACGACCTTAAAGATGAAAATGTACCAGTGGGAGAGTCTGTGTGAAGTTAATGATGACCAGTTAACCAGTGAATGGAGCAGAAAAACTCTTACGTCCGTATGCTCTTTGTGGACTTCACATCCGCCTTCAACACCATGATCCCCCAAACCCTGATGGACAAACTATCCACACTAGGACTAAGCCCCTCCATCTGCAACTGGGTACTAGACTTTTTAACAAACAGACCACAGTTAGTGAGGATCCACAACCTCTCCTCCTCCACCATAACCCTCAGCACTGGCTCTCCTCAGGGATGTGTGTTGAGCCCCCTTCTGTTTACTCTGCTCACATATGATTGTGCAGCTACCCATCCAGGCTGTCACATTGTAAAGTTTGCAGATGATACAGCGGTGGTGGGATGCATCACAAACAATGATGAGTCCAGCTACAGGCAAGAGGTGGAACACCTGGAGAGCTGGTGCAGAGAGAATAACCTTCACATCAATGTGAAGAAGACAAAGGAGATGATTGTGGACTTCAGAAGGAACAAAAACACCTACACCCCCCTGAACATAAGAGGATCTGCGGTGGAAGTGGTCTCCAGCTACAAGTACTTGGGTGTACACATGAATGACAACCTCAGCTGGAGCAACAACACCACCAGCCTGATCAAGAAAGCTCATCAGAGACTCTACTTCCTCAGACGGCTGAGGCGAGCTGGTCTGGGAAGCTCAGTCCTCACCTCCTTCTACAGGTGTGCAGTGGAGAGCATCCTGTGCTCGAGCATCAATGTGTGGCATGGAGGCTGCACAGCTGCAGAAAGAAAAGCTTTGCAGAGAGTGGTGAAGGCTGCACAGAAATCTGTTGGAATCAGTCTCCCCACCATCACAGACATCTACACCTCCAGATGCAGGAAGAGGGCCACCTGCATCATGAAGGACCCCACCCACCCAGCACACACACTTTTTGCCCCACTCCCCTCAGGAAGGAGGTTAAGGAGCATTAAGTGTAGAACCACTAGACTGAGGAACAGCTTCTACCCTGAGGCTGTTAGACTCATGAATCTCTAACTAGAATAATCACTGTGTAAAACCATATCATGTTGCTGCTGATCTGTTTCATGTTGCTGCTGATCTGTTTCAATGTTGATGTGTTCATGCGTGCACATCTGCTCACAGACTCATGTTCATGTTTGTGCTGATGTTCAATGTTTTATGTTATGAGTGCTTAGTGTATATTTAGTTGATGTTTTTCTTAGTTCATATCTTAGATGTTATTACTGTTTTTCTTATACATTTTATTGTTGGATGTAACTGGGACCCTGTGTACATAATTTCGCTCCACCACATGTACCACATGAGGTGCGAATGACAATAAAGAAACTCTGACTCTGACTCTGAATACAGGATGCAGTGGTGGGTATGATAGTTGCAGCCAGTTATGAATCTTGGAGCACCATGATAGACAGCATCCAACATCTGCAAGGTGCAAGTAATCCAGCTCACAACGTGCAAAGGCTCATGGTATTTTCAACTCCCCTTCTTCGCTCTGTGACAAGGTACAAGAACTTTGTGATGTAATGAAACAAAACTAAAGTCACCAAAAGATCAGCACAGCCACAGTGAAGCATGGTGGTGGCAGAATCTTCCATGGGGTTGCATTTCTTCAGCTGGAACATGGGTTCTCTGAGGCAGCAAATGAGGAGAAATTTTATTTTTCTAAACAGCAATGACCCCAAGAATCATTTAAATCAAAAGAATGACATCACCAAAAGAAAATAAAGATTTAAGACTGTCCTATCCAAAGTTCAGACCTTGGTTTGAGGTGTGATCTGAAAGAGCTGTGAACAAGACGATATCTTGCCTCCCAGAATCAGAATCAGTCCAATAGATTCGGAGTACTTCATCAAGACAAAGTTTACAAATGTTACCAGGTCTACAGACGGCTGCTGATGGCCTCCTGACTAAACTTCCTGAAGGCTGTCATTAAACAAGAAGGACCTTCAACAAAGTATAAGTTTCAGGGTTTTAATGCTTTTGCAACCAGCTTATTGCATCCTTTTATATATTTCCCTGCAGGAGGTCTATACAGAATAAATGTCCCTGTGAAGGAAGAAAAAGTTTTGCAATGATTTACCAAGGTTTAATTATTTTTACACCATAAAAACTGGTATTTTACTAGAGCTGTGTCTTGGAAACAGGAAGCGGTGCTGTACCTGTGGAGAAGATGTCAGCGGCAACAGCCAGGAAGGCGTCGGACAACACGCTCTCTGACGCGATGGTGATGTTGAGCTGTCGAGCTACGTTACGGTACACGGTGGGTCGAAGGCACTCCAACTCATCGCCTGGTCGAAACAGAACAAACTGAACTTAAGTCGTGTTCTCAGTTCTCCTCATGCAGACAAGGAAACACTAAAATATATCAACTTTCAAGAAGAAAACAAACAAAGTGAAGTAAACGCAATATCTTCAGGAGTTTCTTCCAACCACACCAGGCATGTTTGACATGTTTCGAACACGTGGTGCAGAGCTGACGGGACGACCAACATGTTCAGGTTGGGTGTGTTTTGCAAGGAAAATATGTTGAAGACAATTACCGTTTGTGGTTTGACCAGAACCAGGTCTCCTTCTAACCCCTGCATTCAGCTTAAACTGCAGACATGACCGGTTTCCAGCTCCACACAGACAGAGGAAAGACTGCAGACATGACTGG